TTATTAAGATCCAGTTGCTTTAGGATCAATGCGCAATGTGACTTCTTCTATTTTATTAATAAAATAGGATAGGATATCACTACTACTAATAAATATCTTCCTTTGTATTTACTTAGTGTGTGAATAGTTCTATAGCTATACATTATTAATATTCTATAGCAATCTGGTTAAATGTCCAGTAATAATAATAATGTAATTATATGTAATTAATTTGTTTATAAATAAGATTTAATAAAAGTAATCAAGTAATAGATATTTAAAGATATTTTATTTAAGTCATTAGTTAGACTAATTGTTATAATTTGCTTTTTTACAGCTACAAGATCAGCTGTATTTATAATAAATATTTTTCACTAATAAATATTACAATTATATAAAAATAATAAATAATAGATACTATATAAATTGTAGTAATTATAATAATTGTTGTAAATAATGGTAATTATAGTAATTGTGATAATTATCAAAATTAATTAATAAATAATAAATAATAAATAAATCACATATAAAATCACATATACAAGTCACATATAAAAATCACATGTCAAAATTACATGTCAAAATCACATGTTATATATAAGTCACATAATTTCAAATTCTTTCAATAAGAATAGAATAAATTAAATAATTAAATAATAAAAAATTAAATTAAATAAATTTAATTATTAAAAATGTTAAATATAATAAAAGTGATTATCTATTATTAAAATAACTATGTTATAGAATATTTGAATTATAACAATATCTTATACTGAATTTATTCAAATATTCAAATTGAATAATATTTGGAATACAAAAAATATATTGATAAATACTATACTAGATCATATTTTTAAATAAATAGTGAAAAATCAATAACATGTGATGAATGTATCACTAAAAAATATTTGAATTTATCTGCTTGCTCTTATTATAGAGTTTGTGATGAAATCAGAAATATGTATATAACTGGTAGTTATGAAAAATAATACTTCTGTACTTATGAATACCAGTATATTTTTTGATTTAACCATGGAGACTGATGTAAAAATACTAGAATTATTAGAAAGCTCCAAGAGAGATATCATTTACTTGACATTTACTCAGCTTGTAATGAAATTGGAAAAGCAATACTATCCTGATACATTTAAGAGAAAGACATTGTAAACAAAATTGAATATATCGAATATAATAGTTTAGAAAAAGTCTCAGTAGCTGAGATCTTTCACTTCATTTATCAACAAATCACTTCAGAATAACAATTATAATTAGCCAAACTCGAATTTATTAATGTTAAACTATATAAAGAATGTCTTATCTCTTGTGACTCAATCCATTGCAATAATTGTATATAATCAGAACAAGCTATTACTGATCAATCATTTTCAAAAATTAATAAAAATAAAATACTATTATACCCTATAATTGAAAAAGAAAAGACTGATTAATGCATAACTGTAACTGAAACTGAAAAATTATTCAAAAAAATCAAAATTGGATCACTTATATTTCTTGATATTTTTAATTTACAAAGTACACTCAATGAAATTTATTGACTTTGTAAAGAAATTCAAAACAAAATTAATCCAATAAAAACTAATAAATTTCAGAAAATGAAGAAAGTATTTATGAATTTTGTAAAGAGATTTCTGATGAATATTATAATACATACTAAAGAAAATGAAACTAAAGATGCACTTCTTGCTATCAAAGTTTACAATAATAAAGACAAAGATCAAATACCAGAACATGCTCACAAAAATGATACTGATTTTGATATTAGATATATTGGAGAAGAATCACTTATCATTAAATCACAACAGACAAATATAATTAATATTTTCATTGCAATGGAAATATCTGAAGGAATTATATATCAATTAATATCACAATCATCTCTTGCACTAAAAGGAATTGATGTTAAAGATGAAACTATTAATTCAAATTATACTGAGAATATTAGTATTATCCTACATAATCAATTTAATGATAATTACAAAATTCAACCAAATGATAAAATTGTACAGACAATATTCTTATAACTTGCTCTCATTAAAAGATTACAACCAATACAAACTTAACAAAAACTAGGAGAAACTAGTTGTGGAACTGGTAGATTTGAATCTACTAATGATAAAGACATGATAATCTATTTTCTGAATCAAGAAAAAGATGACAAGTCAATTGCATGAAAAATTACAAAATAATAAATGAATAGTAAAATAATGATATTTCATCAATTTTCAGAATTTTGCAAAGTTGAATTTGTTTGATTCACCTAATCAAGACAAATATTTTTTGTATTCAGATTACAAAAATTAGATATAGTAAGAAATATAAGCATTCAAAGTTAACTGTGATTACCAATGTTGGTTAGAGTTAGTAAGAGTTCCTGGATGTTCAGTTTCTTCATGTTGATTTTGTTGCAACTGGATTTTTGGTAAATATTTAATGAAATGGAAATCTTTGGATGAAAGTGCTCTTGAAAAATCAATTTTAACAACATCAATAACAATCAAATAAAATCTTTAATTGGTCAATTTATTTTTGCTATTAACAAGAACACTGTAAAATTGCTTGATTAGTACTTTTATTCAAAGAATGTTAAAGCACATTGTTGCTGGTGAGCCAATGCTATATAGTATTTTTATTGGCTATTCAATTTGGTCACATGGTTGCAATCCGAATCGGATTAAAATCATGTGTAACTACACGGCTTTAACGGACCCCCAAGTTTGTAAGCTAATTTAACGATTAGTAAACAAACTTGTAACAATACGTAATTCTTTTCATTTGACGTTAAATTTTTGAGACAGCAACAATATTTATTAATGTAAACTCAAAAAAATAATATTCTCCTAATGTATACCTTGAACTGTAATTACTGTAATTGCTGAATTTGCCCGAAAAATTCATCATCAAAACTGTTAAAATTATTGTACAGTACCTCAAAAAGTATCGCCTCGATTTACGCATGTATTTTTCCAAAATCGATTTATCCTTTTTTTGCACTTTCGCTTTGTTTACCTCACCTATCGCTATACGCAGCTTAACGACGTTGAAAAAGGGAAGATCCTGGCATACAAATGCCGCTCAAATCACAAAATGCTTCTACGCGACCCCACAACGATACGTCGCTTTATTAACAAATATAAACGAACAGGAAAAAGTGAAAACTTACCACGTTCAGGAAGACCACCAGTCCTTAACAACCAAGAAAAGGATTTACTTATACGTGAAGCCAACGAAAAAAGACGTACACCACTACGCGAAATCGTCAACAATTTAGTTTATCAACCACCGCAAATGTATTACACAACTCCGGACTTAACTCATGTATCGCAGCAAAGAAAACCTATAATGCTCGTATTAAATGGTGTGAAGAAAATAAATCTGATGAACCAGTCCAGTGTTGAAGTTGGAAAGCAGTCACAGCAACCAAGAGTCATTTATTACCATTCCAGAACGCAATTAAGGAGTTAACTGGAAGTTACGCAAATTTTCAATAAAAAGTGAAATCTTTCCGAAGACTGTGGATGAACTTAAGGTCACATTAAAGGTGGAGTGGGAAAAAATTGATGTGGCCATTTTAGAAATCAATGCCACGAAGGATTCATTTTTAATCTTGCATCGGGCGATACTTTTGGGGGTACTGTCCCTCTGATACATGTATTTATTTCATTGTCGTCGTTATGCTGTGATACGTAGTATTTTCATTGTCGTCATTCGCGTTTTTAGTATTTTCATTGTCGTTAATTTTCAACAATATACAAGGATTTTCTTACCAAATCATGTACAGCTAACTTCCGATATACGTACCGATACCGATACCGATACGTACTCTATTGGATTTGTATTTACAGTAGGATCTGCACGTCAATATATCGAAAGTGAGTATTTTCATTGTCATCACTTGCGTTGTATTTGTTTCTATGAATTATAACGTGCTTTTTATTGCAAGTTACGTATATGTTTAGTATATTCAAGCAACAAGTGTTTCAGACACAAACTTTCCTTATAAAAAGAATACTCGCTCGCTCGCTCGCTCACTCACTCACTCACTCAAATATTCACTTTTTACTTGTCGAAGTAACTAACAAAAATTCGAAAATCAAAAAGAAGAAACTCGAATAAAAACATAATAATGACTATCTTTAAAAACTTATTGGATCACGACAATCTGTCTCTTCACTTCATCTGACGCAATCTCCGAATCTTACGGCAAGGGTATTGTTAATAATGGTGTTGGTAATATAACCGTTAATTAGCGGTGGCGGTGGATAACGAGCTCGATTTTATGAACAGCAGGTTGCCATGACCAAAGTGATTCCAACAGGTTTTTTAAAGGTAGTTATGATTATTTTTTTATTCGAGTCTCTTCTTAGGGAGCAAGCACTTTTTATAAGACAAATTTCTGTCTGAAACTTTTGTTGCTGAATAACCGACTACATGTATGCAGAAATCAAAAACAATTGATGTAAATTCTTGTATACGTATTTATTTGAGGTTATAAGTCAACATACGTACATTCTTATATAAATAGTCTATTTGCCTACAAACTTTTTCACAAAGTTCATACCTTAATGTAATCATCACGTATAATTCAAAAATTTCCTTTCTTACTTTATTAATTTTATCTATTTTCGCGACAACCCTCGCATTTCCGCTTTCGCAAAGAAACAGTGTCAGAGTCAGAAGAACTCTTGATAATGATAAACTATGATTATATCTTTTAGAATTTTGTATCACCATGTTCAAATTTACCACTGTTTTCTCTACAAATAATACAAAATTGTGTTTTTACATCACCACCATTATCAAGAACCAAAACTAGTTTATGGTTCCATAACAAATACAATGACTTTTTGAACAAAAAAATGGAAGAAAACTAAGAATTTACATAATGTATCAAAATGCAATATGATCACTAGGCAGTCCAAAAATAATAAAGCTTGGATACGACTGGGTAAATCCCATTCTCAAACCACTTCTTATGGATAATCATTGGTCAAGTAGCTGGCATGGATGAAAAAGCATATGAATTTCAACTGGGAAAAGATGATAGATATACTGTGAAACATCCGCTCAAGTTGAACATATGGGGCTGTTTTTCCGTTTCAGGATTCGGTGAACTAATGTTTTCAGAGGAATCGTAACTAGTGTTCCTGAAATATTTCGGATCAGACTAAAACTCGTTATTTCTCGTTCAATATTAATTCAATTTAAATGAAAATCTGTAGATATACAGTGACTCACTAAAGAAACGGAACGCGGAAAAAAAAATGGCGAGATTCGAATATCTCGCCATTGAAGAATT